TCAGGCAATTCCTCAGACCTAAACCCTATTGAAAACCTGGTCAATAGTGAAATGAAGTTTACTGGGCAAGGATATCAGTTCCATCCCGCGGCTGGAGGCTGCTCTACATGAGGCATGGAATAATATACCTCCTCAAACCCTCAAGAATTTGTGTAAGAGCCTTCCTACACGGCTGAGGGACGTGATTAAGCGTAAAGGGCGCAGCAACAAGTATTAAAACCATAGTAAGTGTGCAAATATATATATTATAATCTTTCATGGTATGTGTTTGTGTTTTGGTACGTGTGTGGCGGAGGGGCGGCATAATAAGAACATAAGTAAGAAGGAACACTGCAGCAGGCCTACTGGCCCATGCGAGGCAGGTCCAGTTCTCACACCGGCTTAAGCCAGTGCCTTAACCTAGCCATGTCAGTCACATTCACGCAAGGGAGGAGCATGGCATCTGGCCTAGTAGCACAAGCTAGTAAGATCCAACTCACACCCACCCACACCCACTCATGTATTTATCCAACCTATTTTTAAAACTACACAACTTCTTAGCTTCTGTGACGGTACTCGGGAGTTTGTTCCACTCATCCACAATTCTATTACCAAACCAGTGCTTGAATCTGATTTTTTCCAACTTAAAACCTTTGCTGCGTGTCCTGTCTGTGCTAGATATTTTAACACGCTATTTATATCCCCTTTATTAATTCCTGTTTTCCATTTATACACTTCAAGCATATCCCCCCTGATTCTAAGCCTTTCTAGAGAGTGCAGTGCAGATTCAAGGCCTTCAGTCTGTCCTCATAGGGAAGATTACTAATACATGGGATCAACTTTGCCATCCTCCTTTGTACGTTTTCCAGTGCATTTATATCCATTCTGTAATACGGTGACCAAAACTGTGCAGCATAATCTAAATGAGGCCTAACCAAAGGTATATAGAGTTGAAGAACTACCTGAGGACTTCTATTATTTATACTTCTTGATATGAAGCCAAGGATTCTGTTAGCTTTATTGCGAACACTTATGCACCGTTGTCTTGGTTGCAGATTACTGCTAACCAGAACTCCTAAATCCTTTTTGCAATCCGTAATATTAAGATCTACATTATTTAGTTTATATGTGGCATGGTTATTTTCCTGTCCAACATTTAGAACTTTGCATTTTTCTATATTAAACTGTATCTGCCACTTCTCCGACCATTGCGTCAGTCTATTCAAATCAACCTGGAGTGCTCTGATGTCCTCATTAGAATGAATTGGACGGCCTATTTTGGTGTCATCAGCAAATTTGCTTATGTTGCTATTTTTTCCCTCATTTATGTAATTTATGTAAATTATGAACAACAAGGGGCCCAACACTGACCTCTGTGGAACACCGCTTGTGACGTGCTCCCATTCTGATTTCTCCCCATTTATGCAAAACTCTCTGCTGCCTATTTGTCGACCATGCCTCTACAAAGGAAAAAAATTCTCCTATTCCGTGTACCTTAAGTTTCTTCAATAGCCTCTGATGTGGAACTCTATCGAAAGCCTTACTGACGTCTATATACACAATATAATTTTCAATACCATGATCTACCTCCTGAAATACCTTAGTGAAGAAAGCTATTAAATTCGTGAGACAGGACCGCCACTTTGTGAAACCGTGCTGAGATTCATTAATCAATTTATGCCTTTCGAGATGGCTACGAATTGTTTCGGCAGTTATTGATTCCATAAATTTTCCCATTATGGAGGTAAGGCTTATTGGTCTATAGTTCGAAGCCAAGGACCTGTCACCTGCCTTGTAAATAGGTTTCCACTTGTCTGGCACTATGCCAGTTTGTAGTGATATACTGAAAAGATTAGCCATAGGTATGTTAAGTTCCACTTTAGATTCCTTTAAAACCCTCGCAAACAGTTCATCAGGGCCTGAGGATTTGTTAGGTTTTAATTTCTCTGTTTGTCTGAGGATGATGTCACTAGTTACCCAAATAGTGCATAGTTTATTATCATCCCGTTCTACATAATTTATTATTTATGGAATTTCATTAGTATCTTCCTGAGTAAAAACTGAGAGGAAGTAGGTATTGAAAAGTTCGCACATTTCCTTATCACTGTCATTGATCTGACCAGAGTTACTCTTAAGTGGGCCTATCTTGTCCCTAATCTTACTTCTGTATACCTGAAAGAACCCTTTTGGGTTAGTCTTCGAATCCCTTGCGACTTTACCATCATAATCCCTTTTTGCTCTTATTCATTTTTTATAATTCTCTTTAATTGAATATATTGATTTCTTAACTACCCATCCCCTCTTTTGTGTGTGTACTCACCTAATTTTGGTATTAATATTTATTGCTACCAGTTACATATTTATGATACAGTTAAAGCTAGCTGAAGTGATTTCAACACATTACTGTGGAGTAGAGATCATTATACTTATATCATGATCAGTGGGACGGCAGTGCCAGTCTACATGGTGAATAGTGGTGTGCCTCATTTCAATACTAAGATAAATTTTCTTTGCTCGACAGAGTGGTGTGAGCGGAGTGGAGACTGAGGTGACAGTGGGCAGCTGCTGCGTTCCTCTGCCTGACGACACCACAGACGGCCCTCTCAGCCTCACTTCCTTCAGGGGAGAGCTCGATTCAGCAGTCTCTCAGTACATCTCGCAGGTGAAGGACCTCGGCTACAAGGAGGAAGGAATCAGGGACCAAAAACTCCTCGCCGTCAAGTTCCAGCTCGATCCTGATGATATAAAGCCTAAGAGCGAGGAGATTGAAGAGATACAGCCTAAACTAAACGTCATCTCTAAAGAGGACAAGAGCGAGCAGACAGATTTTGAGGAGGAAGTATTGTCAGTGGACAACCCACTGTATCTCACCCTGAGTGAATGTTCCTCTGGTCTGCTCTCTCACACTGACCACCATCTCTCTCACGATCACCACTATGAGAATGGTCACATCGGAAAAGAAGATGAGCATATTTATGAGAACGTAGGGAACTCAAGGAGAGGTGAGGGCGAGGAAGAGGAGCATTTGTACGATTCTCTTCCAAGACGTAAACCAGACCTCCCACCGAAGCCAGACTTCTTGTCGCAGCTCGCAGCGAGGCAGAGTGAACCAGTTAAACGAGCTTGGAATCCTTTCGTGAGCTTGAGTGTCGACACAGGCGATCCAACACCCCCTCTCAGCACTGCTTCGTCTCTCTCTCCACCAGATTCCAACCTTTCCAATGAGCATTCGGAAGTGAGTTCTCACAAATTGACTGATAAAACCATTATCAACCCGTTTTTAATCTCTAGGTCCAAAGAGACGTGTGAAGAAACTCTTATCCTCGACGGCTCAGAGACTTCGGATTTGGGGTCATCTGGAGGAGAGTATGATGTTGAAGACTGGCCTCTACCTCCCACACCACCTCCAGGAGAAGAGGAAGTGAGTGTTCACGACGATCCATTACCTCCTCCACCACCTGAACTTGCTTTGCAACAGCTTGAGGAGGAAGTATTCCGCGAAGCAGAGGAAGAGAGGAAACTTACTTTTCAGAAGGAGAAAGGTGCCATAGGATGTAATTACAGCGCCAAGACTCTGACTCTTGATGAAGAACAAAAGATCGAAGCCGTCAATATTAATCTCCCATCCCTTGAGAAATTCAAGAAGCCAGTGATCGAGACGTCAGTTACAGATTCCAAACCAAAGAAGCCTAAGATCATTCAAGTTGATGAGGACGATAGTGAGGAATTTGACACTCCAGCTATCAGACACTCTGTGATTATCGAACTTAAAGATTCATGCCCTAGTGTCCCACAGAGCATACGGCCTTCCGATATCCGGAGGAAGGAGAGTCTTAAGCGTAGTGAGAGCGTTAGACACACAGGTGTCCTCAGGCGCACTAATAGCTACAACAAAGTAAGCAGACGTGAATCTCTCTCTGACGTTTTCCCAAGCATCAAGGGTGAGTTTAAAAAATCCGACGTTGGTGACAGTATCCCCGTGGGTGTGACTTCACCGAAGAAAGAACCAAGCCTTTCTTCCTTGGGCAACAGTGACAGCAACACAGATCAAGTAATCGAAATTTCTGAGGACGGTTTCTGGGAGACGAAATCCACGAGCATGGATTCTCTGAGTTCTAACCCGAAAACCCAAGGAGATAATGACCCTTATACTGGTAACCCCGTCATAGTGCCTCAGCTGAACGCCGCTGCCATCGCCGCCCCACCCAAACAATTCCAGGTCAACGATGGCATGGATGGCGTCTACAGCGCCAACGTCATCAACACCCACTCAGGACCCTCGTCCATCGCCAGTACTTTCGCCGACACTACAACTGTAGGAGACGTCAACCCACCTGAGACTCCAACTCTGTTGATTACACCTGAGACTATCCATGAAGAACCTACTGTTTCCCAAAATCCTAGGGAAATAGGCCAGGAAACAAAAGACTCTGAATCTGATCTGGTACTTAAAACGGAGGATAATGATGTCAGGTCTCCATCTCACAAGAATCTCGGTGTAGCCATCATGGAGGGCTACGCGTATGATCTTCAGAAGAAGAAAGACAGCATGAATCTTCCTGAGCATTCCCTTCTGGAGTTTGGTGACTCAGTACGAGACTTGGAGGAACAGCGAAGGTCCGTAATCAAACAGATGACTGTGAAAGCCAAGAGGAAAGATACGTGGATCAAAACTTTCAGTATGCATGATCAGGGAAAGGAGAATATTCCAGTTGCTCCATCTAGATCCAGGAGGAAAAACTCTCCTGTAAGGCCGCAGATAGTCACAAACCCTGGAGAAAACAGTCAAGACGCCACTGATTCACCTGTCATTAAACCTACCAGAAAGTCAGAAGCAGGAATCGTCAAAAGCCAGAAGAGCAACTTCGAAGCCTCTGTTCTACAGCAGAGTTCTTCAAAGACGACAAAGGCTCCCACTGTTGTTGTGGAACCAGCCTCACCTCCGGATGCTTCTCACAGTGACAAGAAAACTGTACAGCTTGAGCCGGCCATAGCAATGGGCGCTGCAAAGAATGAAAATGTTGCTGAAGAGAACATTATTACGCCCAAGAATACCGAAATGCTGGCTGCTCTCTTTTCCTCATCCAACAAAGCAGCTGGAAACAATGAGGAACTAAAAGAATCCACTCAGGGCTTCCCAAAGAAGCTGGAGGCCTGCATAGAGACAGAAGAAGTCAGAGCTTCTCTCGAGGGTCCTCAGACACCTGTCGTAGATCCCATCTTAGTTGATGAACCGGTGTTCTTAGCAGAGGCTTACCCGGTGGAGTTAGTAGCCTCTCCTACGATCATTAACATTGATGAAGCATTGCTTATGAAGACTCATGCCCCACATGTGACCACAACACTAGACCTGACGCACATAATGCCCTCAGAACCACACTTCCAGAGTGCCCTCACGAAGGAGAATGAAGAGGAACAGGAAGAGGAAGAGAGCCCAATGGTGAGAGAGAAAAATGAGATCAATCTGGCCTACAGTACCTTGGCCAAATTCCTGAGCACTGAACTAACAGAACACAAACAGGAATCTATTATTGCAGAGGAAAAGAAAATGGAACAAAGTGAAATGAGAGCTTTTGAGGAGACGGAACAGAAGGATCCAAACACAACAGAAGAGGAAATGGAACAGAAGAAGGAAACTAAGACACTCAAGGAAGAGGAGACGGAATCGATTGAAATGGCTGAGAACCTTCAGCAGCATATTGAAGGTAAGGAAAACTTAAGATTGTCCTTGAGGAGTGAGACTCACCCTCTTGTTGTCTTGTAGATTATGACTAAGTATTCAGGTGCTAAATAAGGAGTTCTCTAATGTTGAAATGTTGAGCTGCTAGTTAAGGAATTCTCTAATGTTTGAGTGTTGAGCTGCAAGTAAAGGATCTCTTTTTTTTTTAGCGGGAATGAATTTTTGTTCCTTGCCTCATCGCAGAGTAAAAGAGAATGTATCGCATGAATAAAAATACCAAATTAAAAACATAAGTAAGAACTGGGAAGCTGCCACCACTTATACTACAAAAAGGAAAGATAAAGCCAAAACAGGAAATGTTCATAGGTACAAAAATAAAAATGCAAAGCGCCACTAGGAAAACTGAATGATATAAAGGTGGGAAAAAAGAAGTCCTCTTATTATTGACTCTTGGGGTAGTTATAACATTCATGTAAATAGACTGGTTACTTGTTTTTATGGTAGTTATAACAGTCATGTCAACAGTAGCCTGGAGACTTGGCATTTTTTACTCTATTTAGGATTAATAGTACTAATAAGTTATTCCAACCCAGTTATACTGTAGGTATCACGTGAAAGACATGGAATTCACTTAGAATTCCAAGGCTCAGTAATATCACTTTATACACAACAATGTTCATTGTTAAGTCAGAAGGAAGTTAAGGACACGAGGATATAGAACATACAACACTATATATGAATAAGATGTTTAATAGGTATCACTAATATATAATGCTAGATGAAGATGTTGACTAGGCATGAGTGCAGATGACTATTTGTGTACCGACCTGGATGTGGTTCTAGGGGTCGAGTATTAGCTCATGGCTCCGCCTTTCAACTGTCGCTTGCCAGATTAATTCCTTCCTACCCTCGTAGGTCTTATTGTACTTTTAAAACTGTTTGGAACTTGCCTCTTCTACATCTTCGTGTAGGTTATTCCACTTTCTGACCGCCCTGAGGCTGAACAATTACTTCCTGACATTCCTGTGGCTCATGCGTGTCTTTAACTTCCAGCTGTACCCGTTTCCCTAGTACTTGCTTTCCGCCTTTCAAACAGCCTGTTCCTGTCTACCCCATCAATTCCACTGAGAATTTTATATGTTGTCATCATGTCTACCCTGGGTTCGATTACATTAGTTTTTCCTCGCTGCTCATTCCTCTTACCCCTAGAACAAGCCTGGTTGCATAACGGCACTTTTTCCAGTACCTTAACATGCTGTTTCAGGTGTTGGTTTCATTCTGGTGCTGTGTACTTTTATTGTATAAAATACCCGGTATGACTCTTCGTTGATTTTAAATTTACCGGATGAGCATTGCTTGCTGAAGTTATTCGGTTGATGTGAGCCTCCAGCGATATACCAGAAACTATGCCTCACCCAGAGGTCTCTCTTTGAGTGAAGTCTGCAACCTCTCTTTCTCCCTTAACTCTGTACTCGGTGTCTAGACTTCTTGTCCCTTCCTCAGTCTTTATATCCTTGCATTTGCTGGGGTTGAATGCAAACAACCATTGATCTAACCAATCTTGCAGTTTGTCTAGATCCCTGTCTTCATTTGTTTTTATTCTCATTAGTTTTGCATTATAAGTAAACAGAGATACATCGTACTCGCTCCCATCCGAGATGTCATTCACATAAGCCAGAAATAGTACTGGTTCTAATGCCGATCCTTGCTGAACTCCGCTTGTTACCCTTTCCCATTGTGACATCTCTTCCCGGACAATCACTGTCTGCGTCTTTCCCCTCGAGTACTCTTTGATCCAGGTGCGAGTATACTCCCTGTTATTCCTGCCTGTTCCAGTCTCTTGTCGGGTACAATATCAGATGCATTCTTTCAGTCTAAGAAAATGTAATTCACCCAATCCTCTCCTGTCTCACCTCTGTTACTTTTTCATAGAGTTCCAACAAATTTATAAGACAAGATATGCCATTTCTGAACCGGAACAATTATGAAACGTCTCTCTCCAAGTGTTTACCTGGAGTTTACCTGGAGAGAGTTCCGGGGGTCAACGCCCCCGCGGCCCGGTCTGTGACCAGGCCTCCTGGTGGATCAGAGCCTGATCAACCAGGCTGGCAATATAAACACAAATGCAGTATAATGTGATCCAGGCTGTTGGTGCTGGCTGCACGCAAACCAACGTACGAGCCACAGCCCGGCTGATCAGGAACCGACTTTAGGTGCTTGTCCAGTGCCAGCTTGAAGACTGCCAGGGGTCTGTTGGTAATCCCCCTTATGTGTGCTGGGAGGCAGTTGAACAGTCTCGGGCCCCTGACACTTATTGTATGGTCTCTTAACGTGCTAGTGACACCCCCTGCTTTTCATTGGGGGGATGGTGCATCGTCTGCCAAGTCTTTTGCTTTCGTAGTGAGTGATTTTCGTGTGCAAGTTCGGTACTAGTCCCTCTAGGATTTTCCAGGTGTATATAATCATGTATCTCTCCCTCCTGCGTTCCAGGGAATACAGGTTTAGGAACCTCAAGCGCTCCCAGTAATTGAGGTGTTTTATCTCCGTTATGCGCGCCGTGAAAGTTCTCTGTACATTTTCTAGGTCGGCAATTTCACCTGCCTTGAAAGGTGCTGTTAGTGTGCAGCAATATTCCAGCCTAGATAGGACAAGTGACCTGAAGAGTGTCATCATGGGCTTGGCCTCCCTAGTTTTGAAGGTTCTCATTATCCATCCTGTCATTTTTCTAGCAGATGCGATTGATACAATGTTATGGTCCTTGAAGGTGAGATCCTCCGACATGATCACTCCCAGGTCTTTGACGTTGGTGTTTCGCTCTATTTTGTGGCCAGGATTTGTTTTGTACTCTGATGAAGATTTAATTTCCTCATGTTTACCATATCTGAGTAATTGAAATTTCTCATCGTTGAACTTCATATTGTTTTCTGCAGCCCACTGAAAGATTTGGTTGATGTCCGCCTGGAGCCTTGCAGTGTCTGCAATGGAAGACACTGTCATGCAGATTCGGGTGTCATCTGCAAAGGAAGACACGGTGCTGTGGCTGACATCCTTGTCTATGTCGGATATGAGGATGAGGAACAAGATGGGAGCGATTACTGTGCCTTGTGGAACAGAGCTTTTCACCGTAGCTGCCTCGGACTTTACTCTGTTGACGACTACTCTCTGTGTTCTGTTAGTGAGGAAATTATAGATCCATCGACCGACTTTTCCTATTATTCCTTGAGCACGCATTTTGTGCGCTATTACGCCATGGTCACACTTGTCGAAGGCTTTTGCAAAGTCTGTATATATTACATCTGCATTCTTTTTGTCTTCTAGTCCATCTAGGACCTTGCCGTAGTGATCCAATAGTTGAGACAGACAGGAGCGACCTGTTCTAAACCCATGTTGCCCTGGGTTGTGTAACTGATGGGTTTCTAGATGGGTGGTGATCTTGCTTCTTAGGACCCTTTCAGAAATTTTTATGATATGGGATGTTAGTGCTATTGGTCTGTAGTTCTTTGCTGTTGCTTTACTGCCCCCTTTGTGGAGTGGGGCTATGTCTGTTGTTTTTAGTAACTGTGGGACGACCCCCGTGTCCATGCTCCCTCTCCATAGGATGGAAAAGGCTCGTGATAGGGGCTTCTTGCAGTTCTTGATGAACACAGAGTTCCATGAGTCTGGCCCTGGGGCAGAGTGCATGGGCATGTCATTTATCGCCTGTTCGAAGTCATTTGGCGTCAGGATAACATCGGATAGGCTTGCGTTAATCAAATTTTGTGGCTCTCTCATAAAAAATTAATTTTGATCTTCGACTCTCAGTCTGGTTAGCGGCTTGCTAAAAACTGAGTCATATTGGGACTTGAGTAGCTCACTCATTTCCTTGCTGTCATCTGTGTAGGACCCATCTTGTTTAAGTAGGGGCCCAATACTGGACGTTGTTCTCGACTTGGATTTGGCATAGGAGAAGAAATACTTTGGGTTTCTACCACTCTCTGCTGATTATCTTCTGTATTACCTTACATTGTATACAAGTAAGTGAAACTGATTTATAGTTCACTGCTTTCTGCCTGTCTCTGTCTTCAATATAGATACTATATTCACTGTATTTTAGATCTCTGGCAACTGTCCCGCGTCCATTTACTTGGTGTAGTCTTAGCTAGTGGTTCCGACAATGCTTATTACTCTCTCTCGCATGATCGATATATTGGTACCTTTGAAGTATCCAGCTTCATCAAAAGTTTCTTTACCTCATGTCCTACTGTATGTACGGTGTCCAGTACCTGTCAGTGTGACCTTTTTCCTAGGCTCTCTGGTACTGTCTCCTGTTTCTATTGAGACCTCTTTAAGTCTTTGTATCAACACTTCGCAGATTTTTTTTGGCATTATTCGTGAGCTCTCATTCTTCATTCTTCAGTCGAATTACCTCATTTTTTACTGTTGTCTCTTTCTTCCGATGTGGTTCACACTTGGCCTTTGTTGTGTGTGTGTGTGTGTGTGTTACCATTTGGTCCTAGGCACATGTCGATTAGACACTAGGCCTGTTGTAAATGTGTGTGTGTGTGTGTGTGTGTGTGTGTGTGTGTGTGTGTGTGTGTGTGTGTGTGTGTGTGTGTGTGTGTGTGTGTGTGCGTGTGTGTGTGTGTGGATATGTGTGTGTGTGTGTTAGTTACCATTCTGTCCTAGGCACATGTCGATTAGACACTTGGCCTGTTGTATATAAGTGTGTGTGTGTGTGTACTTGTGTACTCACCTATTTGTACTCACCTATTTGTGGTTGCAGGGGTCGAGTCATAGCTCCTGGCCCCGCCTCTTCACTGATTGCTACTAGGTCCTCTCTCTCCCTGCTCCATGAGCTTTATCATACCTCGCCTTAAAACTATGTATGGTTCCCGCCTCCACTACTTCACTTTCTAGACTATTCCACGACTTGACTACTCTATGACTGAAGAAATACTTCCTAACATCCCTTTGATTCATCTGAGTCTTCAACTTCCAATTGTGACCTCTTGTGTATGTGTCCCATCTCTGGAACATCCTGTCTTT